TGTCTTCGCCCGATAGCATCCGGAATTGGCTGCGAAGGGCTCACCGCCGCCGCGCCCCGCCCCTCCTCGCGCGCGGATCGCTTGTCGCTCGCCCACTCGCCGCGCCAAGGGCGCAGCTGCCGTCCGGCCCTGGCGCCGCCGCCGCGCCTCCCCGTCAGCCCCCCCCCTTCCCGTCCCGCTCTAACTCCGCCGAGCGTTGTACCTGCCAGGGTCGCTCTCCGCACGCGCATCGAATCCCTGGGCGCCGCTCGTCCCCCCCGCGCACCGCCCACGACCCGCGTCGGGAATGAAAACCGGCGGGGGGGCGCCCCCCAAATTCCTGGGCCCCCCCCTTTTGCCCGGGAAAACCCCCTAAAAAATTTTGGGGGGGGCGGGGCCCAAAGAAAGCGCAAGGTTCAGACGGGTCCGGCGGCGGCGGTGCGGGGCGGTGGGCCGCGGCAGGCGCTCGTTACCCACCACGCGCTGGGAGAGAGCGGCGGGGCGGCTCTATCGCGAAATCGAATCAGGCATTCCTCGGCGCTGTCTTTATCGGCGCTAGAACCAGCAAATGGTGGCCGGGCGGCCCGAAAACAAAAACAGCACGGAAACGGCGTGTTGGAAGATGGGGAGAAGCTCTCGCGACGGGTGGTGGGAAGGGGCCGGGGGGGGGGTGGAAGTCACCGGAAACAACCGTTCACGGAACATCATCACGCGCCGACAATCCAGACTCCGAGGCTCAGCGGGCGGGCGGCGGCGGCGGAGGAGGCGGAGGAGGCCGCGGTTGGCGGCGTACCTGCGAGCCACGGCTATTGGACTCCGAGCTGCCTGTCGTATTCGCGGCGCGCGAGCCGCTTAGCGCGTCGCCGGCTCGAGGCGCCTCTCCGGTCATGTACCGCCGCACGACCCACAATTGAATAAACGGTCGGGCCGTCGATTTTCGGTGACGGCACGCAGTGACGGGCACGGGTGGCGGCGGGGGGCGGGGCGGCGGCGGGGCGGCGGCGTGGTGCGGCGGTTGGAGGCGGCGCGGGCTGGACCGTCGAAATAGAATAAAAAAACGACAGACCGAACGCGCCGCGCCGCGTCGAACCGTCGCGCTTAAAAACCCGGCACCTTATTGTAACTTCGCCCGAAAAAAATAAGGTTCGGGCTAATTCTGTGCATCAACGCCGCGCCGGTGCCGGGTAACTTTGTGCGTAATCTTTCAGATAATCTTCTTGCATCTGATGAATATTTCCGCGCAACGTGTTGCGACGAAGGCTTGGATATTTAGTTCTATTAAGAATGTATGTGCCTGGTTTACATAGAAATTGAGAATAGAAACTCCCGAAGTTTTGCGGAAGGGTGATGGGGACGTCAATTCTCGCAGGAAATTAATTCATCATTTCACTTTTAAGTTGGGGGTTACATAATGTTTAAAATTCTCCGTCCGAAGAAAGTTTCGAATTTAACTAGAAAGGAAATGTTGTTTTCGTAAATTACTGTCTGATGATAGTATAATATTCGAACTTTCAAGTGATGTAATGACAAAGCACTGAGCAACTGCTTAAAGAGAATACAAATTGCACTGCCTCGTTTCAAATTAAAAGTTTTAAAAGTTCTGCAATCATTACTTCGTTAGTCGCGTTCGTATATACGACAAAGCATACAAGTACATTTTCCAAGTTGTAAACAATTCTCGAAGAGAATTATGTATGTCTGAACTAAGCTTTATTGTGAGTC